ACCAAGGAGAAAGCAACAACCCCATCAACAGGGCAAGCTGCTGTATGTAAACAGAAAGCAAACCCCACTCTCTTCTAACACTGAAGTTGTTACCTAGTCGGGTAACGAAACATCTGCAAGAAAACAACCAAGCTCAGAGAACACCAAGGACTCCACAGTTCAACTCTGAGCTACATATATTCTCTTCTACTGGAAACAGATGAGTTGATACAGAATGACTGGTGAAAACTGATTGAGGAAAGCAACTTCTATCCTCTGGTCCAATACCCTCCTTGTACTGGTAATTTCTGTTGCTCCCCCAGTGGAGTAGAATAGTTTCCCCCCACCCCAAGTTAAGGAGGGCCCTTTCCCTGTTGACATTAAGGAGGGAACTTAGAAATATTCCACTAGACTTTTGTATTTTGATCTATTGGGAGTTTACTGGTTTTACATTTTATTAATTTTAATAAATTATTATTGGACTTCTGAGGAAGATTAGCGGAGCTGACAATTGCGGTGGAATGAAGAGCTGGTGAGTAGAACCACTCTTCGTAATTCCTCTCTGGACAAGGAGAGAACTTGAGATAGCCCAAAAGTGCACCATACCATTGTTCCTTGCGAGGAGACTGCAAGACAGCAGTCTCTGATGGGTTTAGGGCTCCGGGAGATAAGGGAATAGCTATCTTGCTCAACCTATGGTTGGTGCTTTTGAAAGGACACTAAATTCCTTTTCTAATCACTTCTGGAAATTGCTTGTTAACTGCTTTTCAGCCATTAGGAACCTTTGGGTTGACAATTTTTATACCACCAGGTGAGTTTCCTTCAATCCTTAATGAAGGAAGTTTTAAATACAAGTTTAAGGACTTAATTTTTTTTTTCTAGAATAAACAGCAAAAGGATGATTAAGACTTTGATTTTAGAAAGTACAAATGGACAAAGAGTCCAGATAAATTTGAAATAAGATTTTGGAATTAATTATAAGAATCCTTCCCGTGGGAAAATGCTTTTGTTTTGAATTTTTTTTTTTTAATGATAGGATGGGACTTTGAAAGTTGGACACTAGAGGGAAGTAGAAGGAACTAAAGATTACATTTAAATGAGAAGAACACTTACATTTGACTTACTAATGCAGAATGGAGCAAAATATTTTAACTTTCGACATATTGAAGGACATTTTTGAACAGTGGACCCAGAAGTTAATTTTAAGAGTGTTTGCCTCTATAGATAGACTGTGTTTAAAAGATGTTATGGAAGAGGAGCAAGTTTTACCGGACAAGACTGAGACTGATCTCAAAGTGAATTTAAAAATGACAAGCTACAAGATTGATATGGAAAAAGATGCTACATAGGACATACAAAAGAAACCGGCTGATGTCTTAATGATTAAAAGGGATATACAAATAACAAACCAAGAGAGTAAAGGGAAAGAATATAAAGTTGGTTTATTTGATCCAGGTTAAAATAGATATCTCTGTAACCCTTAATGGACTGTTGCTGATCAGGACTGAAATGATGAGGATTTTAAGCATTTTATAGATAAGGAATGGGGTATGGGAAGAAGAGATCATTTGTTATATTTTAAGAGAAGGTGATAAATTACTAAAATTGTTTATACTTGTGATGAAGTATAAATATATACTTTCTTTATATATTTGCTATACTTAGTAAACTATATACTTAGTATACTTTTACTATACTAAGTATACTTATTTATACTAAGTATAAATATATACTTTCTTTATAAATTTACTATATTCTTATTTTTTTCTTTTTTAATTTGTATTAGTTTTTTATCGTTGTAGTTGTAATTTTCAATAAAATTATTATTAATTTTTAGTTAATAAATTTTATCCCTTTATTGCAAGTATATGTTTTATGGGTTTTAATTGTTGTCAACTACCCAGAGTTGTATAATTGGCATAGAAATAGTTAAATAAAATTAGATAAACTTTCTTAACAAAGGAAAAGATGGAGGAAAAGCAGCCATAGAAAATTAATAAATAACCAAATTGGGCTTTTTCTGCCTTGAATATAGCCCTAAAGCTCTGTCTTGACCTTGCATCTTAAAATTGTTTAGAAAAAGAAAACTCTCTTAAAAAAAGAATTTTTAAAAATTTCATCTCACACTTGAAATTTGGACTTGAGTAGTAACAGGTTATTCATGTTGTGTAAAAAGAGTTATCAGCAATGGTTGGCTAAAATAAGATTTCTGAAATGAAACTATCTGATCACTAAATACTTTTTTCCTTTTAGGTGGCTACCTGGGTAGATGAAACTTTGAGTTCTGTAGCTTCTAAATTAGAACATACTGCACAGACCTACTCAGAACTTCAAGGAGAACGAATAGTTTCACTGCATTGTTGTGCCCTTTATACCTGTGCGCAGTTGGAGAATAATTTATATTGGTGGTAAGTGCATATTTCAGTTCAAAGCTTTAAATATATTTATATATTTTCAAAGAAAAAAAAACTATCAGCTTATGTATTTATGAAGTACTTGGTGCTCTCTGAGTTTGGTTATTTGCTTGCAGACGTTTCATTACCCAACTAGGTAACTTCATCAGTGCTAGTGGGTGTGGGATTTGCAGAAATGAAATTAATTCAGATTCCTTTAAGATCGGA